AGGAAATCCATCCTACTAGTCTCAGTAACTGGTCCAAAATTTTGCTATCGACCTAGGTGGACCAGTTACTGAGACTAGTGGAATTGATTTTCGAGATTTTTGGATCTGTTTGGAAATCCATCCTACTAGTCTCAGTAACTGGTCCCCCTAGGTCGATAGCAAAATTTTGGACCAGTTACTGAGACTAGTGGAATTCATTTTCCGAATTTTTGTGAGTCTGAGGGCATGTGATAACTTCATCTCTACAGAACACTAAAATGAATTTTTGTCACTCGGTAACTGGTCCCCCTAGGTTGATAATAAAATTTTGGACCAGTTACTGAGACTAGTAGGATGGATTTCTTGATAGATTGGGGTGCCAGTGTAGATCGAGTTTTTATAAATGTTATACATACGCTACAAGATTACTGTGTACTATGTACTGAACTGCTTACGAGCATCAATTACGGAGAATTTATTGTAACACATAATTTCCGAGAATCGAACCGTAGAGCGAGTTTTCCCAGCGAGTTCCAGGGACGCGGCGTCAGTCCAAAATTCGTCGACTAATCTAATCGCCCCTGTGTTTATTTTTTCGGCGAACGCCCCGCGGCTCGAGGTTTTTCGCGACAGGATAAACATCGATTATCCGGGTCGATCGATCGGCGCCGATAAAAATTGCCGTTCGATATCGTTGGTATAATGAGCGGTTCCGGCGTAAACTAGCGGCGACTAGATCGCAGATTAACCGGAGCCAGTCGTTGAACGTGCGTATTGCGAGGCGGGTTCACGGTGCGTGGTTCACCGACAAGGGGCACACTATCGCAGCCGGAGGCGGGACTCGTTTAAAAACTATCTGGCGAGTGTTCTCTTCGCCGGGTGCCCCTGGTGCGCGCCAGCCGCGGTGGAGTCGTCCGGCTGCACGGCTGGCGTTTGCTTTTCGAGGCCCGAGCCCGAAGTGAGTCAGTCAGTCAAGCGTCGACCATCGAAGGGATCGGTCGCTCGTTCCCTCTCCGAAGCCAGACACGATCCTCTCGGTGAAACGATCGTTGCTCGCTCGTGCGATCCGTTATGAATCTGTCGTCGATCGCGAGCAGGACGACACGCGTCTCGTGACAAATTCGGAGTTCCACCGCAAAGAATCGCGCGCGCGCCAAGTTCGATGGGGTTTGACCGCGACTCGCATTGATCATTCGCGATCCAAGAACAGTTCCCGTCTCGTCAACGTGACCAGAGGATCGGCGGATCGCCGAGGTTTCCCCGTAAAAAACAGTGCGTGCGATTGTCCAAGAAGATGCTGTCCAGAGACTTGTTGACTTTCGCGACCATGGTGTCCAGCCTGTCCATGGCGATCGGTGCTTCCGTGGATCTCGACTACGACGTGCTCGGCGACAACGATGGGAAATCCGATGACAATGGTAACGTGTTTCATTTCGGGCGCGTGATTTCATGGGAAAGTTCGGTGCACGAGCGGCGCCGAGACCGGCGCGTGAACGAGGCCACGTGGGTGGCGGCGGGGGTAGCCTGCGAAATCAATGGGGAAAACTGATGCTCGCTCGCGATCCTCGCGATCGAAACGAACCCGGTCTCGGAACGCCGCTCTTTCTTTTTTCCTGTACGACTGTCGCGCGCGTTCCTGCATGCCTCGTTGTCTCGTTGCGGTTTACTGTTACACGTGGTCTCCTCGGTGCATGGTAACGTTTCCCGCTGGATGATCGCCGATTACGGTGCACTTTCGTCCGCCAGCCGTATCGCATGCCTCGCCGGTAATTACCCCGAGTTATTCGGGGTAATTACGCTCGCGGCGCGCACGCTATTTTTAAAAGACCGCGGGATGTTTCCCGTTCGTGCTTTCCGCGGACTCCGGAAGCCTTTCCACCGCTCCACATTCGATTTCCTGGTCTCGATCCGGCCGAAAGGCCGGCGGGGACGCCGCGCCGTGACATCGTAAATTAACATTCGCGATTTGTACAGTCGGCTCCGTGCGTATTACATTCGTTTAAACCGCCGCGATCGCGATAAGCAACCGCGGAGGATGTGGTTTATCGCTGTACGTTCCACGAAAGTAAGTCCACGAAAGACTTTCTTGTAGCCTTTCGTCATCTTTCGTTTTTAGATCTTGGTTACTTCGCTTCGAACACCGCCGGTGCGATAAAGAACCAATATACAGAATAGCCGCACGAAAGATTCTCTTGCGGCTCTCGGGATCGTTCGTTTTAGTTCTCGGTGTACTTCGTTTTGAATACCGTGGTCGCAGCGAAGAATAGCAGGAAACAATTACACGAAAGATTTTCTTGTATCTCCCATCGGCTTTCGTTTGAAATCTTAGTTACCTCATCTGTAACACCCGTGATTAACTAATGCAGACTAGACGCACGAAAGATTTTCTTGCGGCTCTCAACATCGTCCGTTTCAGGTCTCGATTACCCCATTCCGAACGCCGCGGTTATGACGAGCAGTATTGTAACAGGAAACAGTTGCACGAAAGACTTTCTTGTGGCTCACCGACGTCTTTCGTTTTAGAATTTACAATTAGTTTCTTCGTTTCGAACGTCACGATCGCGACAAAGAACTAATGCGGAACGGTCGCACGCAACCTAGGACATAAAACTGGTGTCTCGGGAGAACGAACGACCGACGTTCTCGCAAATAATCGAGCAAGATTTTCGTAGACGGTTGTATGTACACGCTTTCGGCTGTCGGAGCCGGGTCCGGTCGTTAAAAAACGGTGTTCCGCGACCGACGGGTTAATCGACTCGTTCCGAAAACGATCCTACGGGTCGTAAAGTCGCGATCGCGATCCTGTATCGCGCGGCCGAATCTAGATCGATCCGCGGATTAACCGGCGACGTCCAATTGGCCGGCCAGTTTATCGGTTTTCTCGGAGCGACGGTTGGTTAACGAGGGGAATAGCAGAAACGAGAAAAGTCTCGCGCGCCGATGAAAAATAAAGAATGCCAGATAAGAGCCGAGAAGCAGATGCAGACATGCCGGCCGCTACGTCACACGGCGCAGCCACGGTAATTGCAAAATTGTACGTTCTCCGGAACGACGGGGACGCGGCGGAGAAGGGGATGAAGGAGGAGAAGAAGAAGGAGGAGGAGGAGGAGGAGGCGGTGGATGACTGAGGGAGGGAGAGAAAAAAGGCAGCAACGACGTGTTTAAACTCGTCTGCCGGTTTTTGCGCGGGGCCGGTCAGCGCGCGGCGCAATTAAGGACGCGTGCAATTTAAACGTTTTATCGATGCACGTGAGTATTCGTCGATCGTGGAAAAAACGAGAAGGTGAAGATGGATGGAGCTTGTGTTCGTGGCGGTCTCGTTTTCATGAAAACCGGCGAGCACGGGGAGAAAGACAGAGGGAGGGGAGAGGAAGCGACGTGAAAGAAAGAGAGAGAGAGAGAGAGGGGGGCCGGACGGAGGGAGGAATCGAGGAAGTCGCGACAGAAATTGAGTCCGTTACGTCGCGACCTCGCGGCAACGATAAAATCGTCCGCGAAAGGAGTCTCGCCGGTTACGATCCTCGCCGGCCCTCCCCGAATGATTCACGATCGATCGATAGATTTACGTGGCCGGTCTGGCGCCACCTGGAAAGACCCGCAAAGAGTCCCGCGGGATCGGCCACTCCGGGACACGACAGAAGGAGTTTCGCCGGAATCCGAGGCAGCTCCGCGGCGGCGCTTGCGAAATAATAAATATTTAAATTTTGCCGTTCGCACGATACCGAGTTTAGAAAGACGATAAAGTATGCGTCGGGCGCCAGCTAGGCGCGCGGATACCGGAGTACATAATATAGTGCCTATGTGCACGATAGGTATACCTTCCGACACGCTTGTCTGTGCGGTCCTCGTTTATAAGTATGCCGCGGCTCTTCGTGCGTCGAACGTTTGCGCCGACGATGTTCCTCTTTGTCCACCTCGGAACGAATTAATTCGTCCTCATAGGGTAGCGCAGCCTAGGTTCGCTATGGTGTGACCAATTTCTGCGCCCTTCGTTTGTTTTCGGGCACGATTAACTTTGCGTGAAATTGTTCCGTTCGAAAAACAGCCACAGAAAAGAACAATCATGCCCGAAAGCGAACAATTTGATCGAATAAAGGCTCGACAATTTGTCATCGCGCGGTAACCGCAGCTCCGCGGCCGATACGTTTCGATACGTTTCCCATATCCGGTCGCGTTCGACCGCGGAATATGTATTCGCGGCATGAAAATCCCGGTTCGATATCTCGAAATCCAGAAGCGTTTCGCCGGTGCCGAGGCGAGATGAATTCACGGAACCATTCCGCCGGCGTTATAGTTTCTGGGACGCGCGGAGCACATCGCATTCTTCGCCGCGGGAAAAAAATGTCCTCCCCCTACTCTCCGCTCGGGCCGGCTCGATGGCCGACGATCGCGGAGAGAAGCCGTTAATCTGACGCATCTGACGAATCCGGCCGTTTATCTGCGGCCACGTCAATCTTCTCGTTCGAGGAAGAACGGCCGAGCTTCTGCGCGCGTAACATTCGAAAGCGTGCGTCCCTCTCGCGATTCCGTGGAATCGCGAAGCCCGGCGCGTGCGATATCGGGAAACGCGATTCCTGTCCGCGCCGTGGAGGCGGTAATCGCGGCACGTTTTTGCGCAAGCCGTCGCATTGTGTTTTCCAAAAGGTTCATTAAAAAATTACGTAACGGATCGCGCACGCGCTCGCCGCGTTCGCCGTGGCTCCAGCCTCTTATCTGGCTCCGATACAAACAAGTTACGGAATGGTGATACTTCTCGATCGGTTCGCCGGCTGCATATTTATAGACCGGCGAGGTCGATTCTACCGATATGACTCATTCGGCTCGGATCCCGGCCTAGGGATTGTCAGTTTAGCGAAAGCTGCCGAACCGCGCCGCCTTTCCGGTGCCAATCGCGTATCGATTTCACCCCGGCATCCCTGCGATTCAATCGCGAGGACTTCGAACGATCGTTTGTCCCAGACAGTCTCTTACTCCACGGTTTTTGCAGCACGAGTTGGAGACCTCCGCGCACTTCTTTAAGTACAGTGAATTCTCTCCAATTTTCCTTCAACTTGTAAACAAAAATTCGGGACAATTCGTTAAAGCTCGAGGCTTGCATCTCGTTTCAACCAATCGTATCTGCTTTTCCCACTTTTGTGTACAACCTGAGCGTCGATTAGGAAAAATTGACTGTACAGTAATGTCTCTCTAATTGACGCTCAGATTGTCCACAAAAATGGACAATTTGGGAAGAGGTGATACGATCCTGTCTCTTATACACATCTAGATGTGTATAAGAGACAGAATTAGAGAGACATTACTGTACAGTAGATGTGTATAAGAGACAGAATTAGAGAGACATTACTGTACAGTAGATGTGTATAAGAGACAGAATTAGAGAGACATTACTGTACAGTAGATGTGTATAAGAGACAGAATTAGAGAGACATTACTGTACAGTAGATGTGTATAAGAGACAGAATTAGAGAGACATTACTGTACAGTAGATGTGTATAAGAGACAGAATTAGAGAGACATTACTGTACAGTAGATGTGTATAAGAGACAGAATTAGAGAGACATTACTGTACAGTAGATGTGTATAAGAGACAGAATTAGAGAGACATTACTGTACAGTAGATGTGTATAAGAGACAGAATTAGAGAGACATTACTGTACAGTAGATGTGTATAAGAGACAGAATTAGAGAGACATTACTGTACAGTAGATGTGTATAAGAGACAGAATTAGAGAGACATTACTGTACAGTAGATGTGTATAAGAGACAGAATTAGAGAGACATTACTGTACAGTAGATGTGTATAAGAGACAGAATTAGAGAGACATTACTGTACAGTAGATGTGTATAAGAGACAGAATTAGAGAGACATTACTGTACAGTAGATGTGTATAAGAGACAGAATTAGAGAGACATTACTGTACAGTAGATGTGTATAAGAGACAGAATTAGAGAGACATTACTGTACAGTAGATGTGTATAAGAGACAGAATTAGAGAGACATTACTGTACAGTAGATGTGTATAAGAGACAGAATTAGAGAGACATTACTGTACAGTAGATGTGTATAAGAGACAGAATTAGAGAGACATTACTGTACAGTAGATGTGTATAAGAGACAGAATTAGAGAGACATTACTGTACAGTAGATGTGTATAAGAGACAGAATTAGAGAGACATTACTGTACAGTAGATGTGTATAAGAGACAGAATTAGAGAGACATTACTGTACAGTAGATGTGTATAAGAGACAGAATTAGAGAGACATTACTGTACAGTAGATGTGTATAAGAGACAGAATTAGAGAGACATTACTGTACAGTAGATGTGTATAAGAGACAGAATTAGAGAGACATTACTGTACAGTAGATGTGTATAAGAGACAGAATTAGAGAGACATTACTGTACAGTAGATGTGTAT